GACTAGCATAATTTACGGTAAAAAGGGTTTACTTTGGAGGCTGAAGAGATGGCTCAGAGGTTAAGAGCACTGGCTGCTCTTCCAAAGGTCTTGAGTTCAATTCCCAGCAATCACTGGCTCACTACCATCCATAATGAGATCTGGTGCCCTCTTCTGGCCTGCACAGATACATGCAGACAAAATACTATATCCATAATAAATAATAAATATTTTAAAAAAGGAAGGGAATAGCAGCAGAAATGGTTGGTGGTATAGTTCAGTTGGTAGAATGCTTTCCTAGAATGCAAAAGCCCTGGATTCAATATCCAACATTGGGTAAACCAGGCATGCTGTCATATGCCGGCAATTTTAGCAGTAGGAAAATGAGGCAGGAAGGCAAGAGGATCAGAAACTGAAGATTATCCTCAGCTATGTAGTAAGCTCTAAAACAGCCTTAGATACATGAGATTCTGTCTAAAATAAAACCAGCTCATGTAGTGCTGAAAGCCTTGAATACCAACCCTCAGAAGGAAGAGGCAAGTGGATCTCTAGGAGTTCAAGCCTAGCCTGGTCTATAGAGCGTGTTCTAGGACAGCCAGGGCTACACAGAGAAACCCTGTCTCAAAAACATAAAAAACAGTTGGGCGGTAGTGGCGCATGCCTTTAATCCCAGCACTCAGTAGGCAAAGGCAGGTGGATCTCTGTGAGTTGAGACCAGCCTGGTCTACAAGAGCTAGTTCCAGGACAGCCTCCAAAGCCACAGAGAAACCCTGTCTCAAAACAAACAAACAAACAAACAAAACAAAACAAAAACATAAAAAACAAGAGCCAGGCAGTAGTGGTGCATGCCTTTAATCCCAGCACTTGGGAGGCAGAGGCAGGTGTATCTCTGTGAGTTTGAGGCCAGCCTGGTCTACAGAGTGAGTTCCAGGACAGCCAGGGCTACACAGAGAAACCCTGTCTCAAAAAAAAAAAAAAAAAAAGAGGGGGCTGGAGAGATGGCTCAGAGGTTAAGAGCACTGATTGCTCTTCCAGGGGTCCTGAGTTCAATTCCCAGCAACCACATGATGGCTTACAACCATCTACAATTCAATCTGGTGTCCTCTTCTGGCGTGTAGGCAGAACACTGTATATATGATAAATAAATAAAAATCTTTAAAAAAAAAAAGAAAAAGAAAAAACTAAAACCCAGCAATGACAATGAAGATCAACCACAGTGTATCCCGTACCATTGACTGAGCCACTTACAGGACGTTCCTCATTTGGGAAGACATGACACTAGTGCCACCTACTAGAAGATATATACTAAGTGCCAACTGTGCATGAGGAACATATCAAAATGGGTTCCTGCCCATCCACAGGCCCACTCCACCATGAATGCCACTGTCCCCTTAAGATGCCTCCAGGACCTTATCCACAGCCATCTTCTCTCCTTTGTACTTCTCCCACTACGAAGGCTGTCCCTTTCAACAACAGACACACCAGTGCCCTCAGCAGATGTGGCAGTGTTCAGTTCTGGAGAAAATGAGTTTCATCCCTGTTCTTCGTTATCTACTCTTTGCAGGTCAATGTCCTCACTGTAACACAGGTGTACTAACCATACCTCCTTCTCAGGATGGTCCTGTGAGTCTCACAACAGGAGTGATGTTGTTGTCTGTATACTTACTGAGTACCAAGTGTAAACCAAGACAATCAGGTCAGGTTTCAGAAGTCTGGTCACATCTGAACACAACTGGCATTCTCCATTGTGGCCTGTATACCAAGTCAACTCCTAGTTGCTAAGTGATAAAATCAGCATTTGTAATTTTTTCTCAAGTGCAGGTCCTCTCAAACTCAGCTCAGTTCCCCAAACTAAATATGAAGTCAGGGAAATGAAGGAATTCTCCTAGGCAGTATGTAATCCAAGCAGGAACCCTGCAGTCCCTGCTCTCCAAGGCTGTGGTCCTTGTCCTTCAGGTTTTCCAAGTCAGTGGAGAGGGGATGTTCCATAAATAGGACCCTTAAGAATATTGAGGTCGGGGCTGGAGAGATGGCTCAGGGGTTAAGAGCACTGACTGTTATTCCAGAGGTCCTGAGTTTAATTCCCAGCAACCACATGGTGGCTCACAACCACCTTGAGTGAGATGTGGTGCCCTCTGTTGGCACGCAGGCAGAAGAAGACTGTATCCACAAAAAAAAAAAAAAAAAAAAAAAAAGGATATTGAGGTCATTGGGTTTGTCTGATGAGTTTGAAGGTAGAAATGATAAAAAAAAACTTTATGGAGAACTGGGGTTCAAAAGCAAAACAAGAGAATAACACATTGGGAATTTGGTGTCTACATGGCACAGGGTAGGCTGTCAGAAAACTGGGAACTACTGTTATTCTGACACCTAGCTCTAGTCAAAATGATACTGATAAACACACACCTCCCCTATGTCCTAGCAATTCCACTCCAAATGATACACCCCAGATGTGGGAGCAAATGTCCATATATTCATACATAAGAACAAGAATCTTCACATGGACATTACAAGAGTCTTAAACTAGAAATGGCCCAGTGTTCATCAGCAAGAGATCATTCAAGTCAGACATTGGTGGCAAACGCCTTTAATCCCAGCACTTGGGGATTTGAGGCCAGCCTGATCTACAGAAGGAGTGCCAAAACAGGCTCCAAAACTACACAGAAAAACCAAAAAATAAAAAATAAAAAAAATAAACTGAGGATGGATTTCACAGGCATTATGTTAAGGAAGCATGATAAGCAAGGGTCTCGTTTATAAGATGGTCCTACAGTGATCACGGAAGCTCATGCCTGTAATCCCAGCACTTAGAAAGCTGAGGCAGGAGGTGTGCCAAAAGTTCCAGGCCAGCCCAGAATACAGAGTAAAAAGTCTGTCTTGAAAAAACAATCAAACAAAAGTCATCTGGGGAAGTAGCTCATGAATAGAGGTTTGTTTGCCTAGCATAAACAGATTGGACATGGTGGTACATTATCTGTGATCTCAATACTTGGGAGACACAAAATAAACCAAGGTCATCCTCAGTTTCATATTGAATTGAGGATGGCCTCAATTTATAAAACCCTGCCTCAAAACGAACAAACAAACAGGGCCAGTGAGATGGCACTTGTTGCCAAGCCTGTCAACCTGAGTTGGATTTCTAGGGCCCACTGGGTAGGAGGAGAGAACTGACTCCTGCAAGGTGTGCTCAGACCTCCACATGCCATGACACAGGCACACATGAACCAAATAAAAAAGAAAAGAAAAGAATGATAAGTTTTCAAAAGATTTTACACACATCACATTATTATGTTTGTGGAGACAGGGTTTCTCTGTGTAACAGCCCTGGCTTTTCTGAAACTTGCTTTGTAGACCAGAATGACCTCAAACTCTCAGAGATCCATCTACCTCTGCCTCTGAGTGCTGGGATTAAAGGTGTGGGTCACCATACTGGCCATTCCTTTCTTAGTACACAAGTGAGAGTTCACAACAGCCCGTAACTCCAGTTTCAGAGGATCTCACTCCTGGTCTCCAAGGTCACCACAAATGCAAGCAAATACTCTTACGCATAAAATAAAAAAGAAATATTTAAAAATATTATTTTAAAGTACATGTGGGTATGTGCATGTGTATGTAGGTATCCACAGAGGTCAGAAGAAACTCCCGTGGAGCTGGAGTTACAGGCACTTGTGAACTGCCCAACTTGAGTGCTTAGGATATGAACTCACCAGGGAGGTTTGCAGGAGTGAAAAACCAGCCTGCCTCCATCTTAGGCTTAAAAGCCATCTTAAAGAAAAACAAGGTTCATTCTTGTTCATGATTAAACCTCTCAAGGATTGAGCTATGCCCTGCCTGTGACCTTAACTACAAATGGTTCTGTACTACCTGTTCCAGGAATGGTAATCAAGTCTTTGTTTCAAAAAGTTATTTATAACCATCTTGCAAACCTACCTTTGTTTCAAAAGGCTATATGACCACTTTAACTACCTTGTTATGCCCACCTTGCAACCATGTCTTTGTTTCAGGCGGTCATTCGACCTTATGTTCTGCTCCTATTGCCTGCCCAAACGCCTCCATTTAGAAGCCACCTGCCCCTGAACTTTATAAAAACTTCGTTTTCCTCACAGCCAATGCTGACCTCTGAACCTCAGCTTGGGAGGAGGCAGCACATGTACATGAATCAAAACAAAACTACTCGGTTTAATTGTTTGCTTTAATTAATTGGGCCATGATGATTTGGGTCGGTGGTCTGTCTCTTCCCGTCTCTGGGATTAACAGAGTAAGATTTTCAATAGAAATTCCTCTAGTCCAAAAGTGAGAATTTTGTTTTGTTTTGTTTTTCGAAACAGGGTTTCTCTGTATTGTCTTGGAGGTTGTCCTGGAACTCTCTTTGTAGACCAGGCTGGCCTCGAACTCACCAAGATCCATCTGCCTCTACCTCCCGAGTGCTGAGATTAAAGGCGTGCGCAACCACCGCCCGGCCCAGAGGTGAGAATTTTAAGAAGATTAGAACAAGCAAATTAGAGTGAATGTATAATCAAGGCCAGAAACGTGGTTGGGGAGGGATGGATATCCGTTAGTGGCCGGATATTTTTTTTAAAGATTTATTTATTTATTACATATACAGTGTTCTGCCTACATGCCAGAAGAGGGCACCAGATTGAATTGTAGATGGTTGTGAGCCACCATGTGGTTGCTGGGAATTGAACTCAGGACCCCTGGAAGAGCAATCAGTGCTCTTAACCTCTGAGCTATCTCTCCAGCCCCTATTGGCCGGATATTAATATAAGCGAATTTTTTGTGAAATGTTGGAATTACGGTATAACTGATATTTGATATATGACGATATTACTGTGCAAAAACTGCATTGATCTATACTTAAGACTTAAGCCCATCATTGTATACTATGCCTCAATAAAAGTGTTAATAGTTGATGAGGACGGTAAGCGCAACCAATTGCTGCAATATCATACCGGAGACAATGTGCCCCTGCTTTGCCATTATGTGTTCATGTCACTTGGTGGTCCTGGGAAACCGTTTGGAAGAACTGAAGGTGAGAATTCAAGTACCAGGCAAAGGAAGTTCCGGGCTGGTTTCAAAGACTGAAAGGTACACGGTTCAAGCGCCGCCAAATTCATCACATCTAAGATGCTTACGTGACTGCGGTGCTGGTGGCCCCTCCCGCCGTGCTCCTGCAGATAGCCCCGCCCAACCAAGGCCTCCAGAAGAGGTAGCCAATCAGCAGCCGGCCTGGCCCGGGGTCACTGACCTGGAGTCTCCGACACCTAGGCTGACCACCAGTTTCCAATGAGCGAGCTACCCCCGCTGCCATCCATGATCAGCCGCCTTACGTCCCGTGCCTTTCGCGGCCCGCAGCGTTTCCGCAGCGTACGCTTTACCCTTGCCGGTTGGAGCTCTGCCAGCCAATCATTGGCGTATCCCGACCAGACGGCCAATGGCTGCCCGCCTCCGCGCGCCGGGCTCGCGACAGTTGCAGCTGTGCGCCTTGCAGCTCGCGGGAAACGGAGATGGATTGGCGCAAGCAGGAGCCAATGGGCGGTGCGCGCGAGGAGCGGGTCCAATGAGCGTCCCAGAGGCGGGGCGGGCGCCGCGGCGGGCGGCTGTGAGGATCGGCCGGTAGTGGCGGTGGCGCCGGTGGGTGGCTGCAGCGGTCAGCGGTCGACCATGGCGGAGGCAGAGGCCGGCGGCGACGAAGCCCGCTGCGTGCGACTGAGTGCCGAGCGGGCCAAGGTGCTGCTGGCCGATGTGGACACGCTGCTGTTCGACTGCGATGGTGTGCTGTGGCGCGGTGAGACGGCTGTGCCGGGGGCGCCGGAGACTCTACGGGCGCTGCGGGCCCGCGGCAAGCGACTGGGCTTCATCACCAACAACAGCAGCAAGACTCGCACGGCCTACGCGGAGAAGCTAAGGCGCTTGGGTTTCGGCGGTCCGGTGGGGCCCGACGCGGGCCTCGAGGTCTTCGGCACGGCCTACTGCAGCGCGCTCTATCTGCGCCAGCGCCTGGCCGGCGTGCCGGACCCCAAGGCCTACGTGCTGGGCAGTCCGGCCTTAGCCGCCGAGCTGGAGGCCGTGGGTGTCGCCAGTGTGGGTGTGGGTCCGGAGGCGTTGTGCGGCGAAGGCCCGAGCGACTGGCTGGCGGTGCCGCTCGAACCCGGCGTGCGCGCGGTAGTGGTGGGCTTCGACCCACACTTCAGCTACATGAAACTCACCAAGGCCGTGCGGTACCTGCAGCAGCCCGACTGCCTGCTCGTGGGCACCAACATGGACAACCGGCTCCCGCTAGAGAACGGCCGTTTCATTGCGGGTCCGTGCGCCTAGGGGCTGGAGGTTGGAGGGCGGGCTCAGCCCTTCCGTGTCTTCTGACTCCCAGCGTCCCCTTCCCTCCCTCGCCCCGCAGGTACCGGCTGTCTGGTGCGAGCCGTGGAGATGGCCACCCAGCGCCAGGCGGATATCATCGGGAAGCCTAGCCGCTTCATCTTCGACTGCGTGTCCCAAGAGTATGGTATCAACCCGGAGCGCACCGTTATGGTGGGAGACCGCCTGGACACAGACATCCTTCTGGGCGCCACCTGTAGCCTGAAGACTATCCTGACCCTCACCGGAGTCTCCACTCTTGAGGATGTGAAGATTAATCAGGAAAGTGACTGCATGTACAAGAAGAAAATGGTCCCTGACTTTTATGTTGACAGTATAGCCGACCTTTTGCCTGCCCTTCAAGGTTAAAGATTTAGTGTCTTTAATCTCTGGAATAAAAAAATGAAAATCAGTTACCTAAATTAATAGGTGGGGCTCAGTTAGGTGGCTGCAGGTTAATTGGAGTTAAGCAAAGGCAGTAGTTAACCTTGTACGTAAACGTTGGGGGGTGCTGTTTACAGATGATTATATTTTAAGATGCACTTTTAAACTTGGAAGGCATTATGGGGTGGGCCATGGGCTTTGTATGTGTTTACAGGGATGGGCATAGCATCTGCCCAGGATTCAGGTAACCTTAGGCCCTGTTGATGAGCCTGAAGTGGGTCAAGGGTTGTGTGTCATGCTTTTTACTGAAAAGATGTATTCAGGGATCAGACCCTCGGTTGGGCTCGAGGAAAGGAAGGGCTGTTACGAGACACTTGTGCAGACCAAAACCCAGGGTTTCCCCCGGTGTGATCATACAGCAGAGAAGCCTGCTATGTGTTCCTTACCTATAGGGTATGAGTGGAGGAGGCCACTCCCAGGTGGGATTTCTGTTGTTGGGGTTTAGAATACTGCCCTTGACAACTTCCACTCATCCCGCTTCCTTGAAAGCCACTTTGATGTCACAATTGTCTGTTCTGTTTCAGATGCCCAGCACTACAGCCCCTCATGCACACCAACAGCCTAGATAAACTTGGGCTTCCTTGTGTGAATTGAAACCTATGTGTTTCACTGAGTGGTCTGCTGAGCAGCAGAGTGGGTATGAACTCCATACTGCTGTACAGGGACCTTAGAACAGTGTTTATTTAAAAAAAAATCTTAAAACTACTGAACAAAATTGTCAAGTGTGGAATTGGAACTTTAAAGGGTATGGATTTATAGCTGTGCTGTCTTAAGGATAAACCCTACGGAAGAAACCCATTGCTCCTGTCAGCAGTATAGCCAATGTGCAAGCTAAGGATTGCCTTGTTTCCCAGAGTACCCTCTGGGTATGGAAGGAAAGAGGAGTCCTGAAAATAATTGTTTCTAACAACACATCTAACCTCCCTTGCCTATGTCCTTTGCATTTGTGGCTGGGTCATATGTTGGTGCTCCATGAAGCCATCTATTTCCATCCTGGACTTCCTTGTTGGTGGCCAGACGGAAGGTCCACCCTGCCAAACAGTTGGCTTCTAAGCATCTCTGGCGTTTTGCTCTGCTCTGACCTTTAGCAGCAGTATTCATGGGTCAAAACCAGGAAGCTATTGCTTTTAGCTGACTCCTTCCTTCCTGGCACCTTGCCCTGTACCAAGTGGCTACTCTTGTGGTCGCAGCACTTCACCTGTTCAGATTCTCAGAGCAATAAAATGTATCCCATGCCTGAAGCTGCTCCCAGGCCAGGGGTAGCTGGGAGTGGAATGGTGCCATAATTCACCATGAAGGTGGCAGTGCCTGTGACACTGGTGATGTTGATCCTCTGAGTCTGGATAATGAACAGACCTGTTTTGGCACTATCACCCACATAGGAGTACTTTGCAGTTGCAGCAGCAAGGGATGCCCCCTCTTCTACCGGGCAGTAGCCCGAGAACCTGTGTGTTACATTTCCAGCTTGTTTGATTGTGTGAACTCAAATGCACATTAAACTCTCAAACCACAGTGACTAGGTCTGCCTTCCTCTATACTTTGAGTAGCAGCTGTCTAGCTATGGGTGGGGGGCAAGGCAAGAGTATATACAAGGCAGGCTGGGATTCCAGTTCCAAAATCTTAACACAGTGGTGTGACCACTGCTGCCCCACCCTTGAGAGGAACAGGTCCTAAGAAACAGGAAGTATGTAGCATAAAACCAGAGAATAAAGCTACTGGGTAAAATATGTGGATGTGAGTATAGCTGAGCTACCATGTCAGAGACCAGAGAAGTTAACAGCTTGGTTAGAAAAAAACAAGCTAGGGTACAGGCTAGCTTAGCCATCCAGCAAGCTGGTTTGTCCAGTCCAGCTGAAGCCCTCTTGGTGCACATGGAAATATCCATAGCCTCATCTAGTGTTAATGGGGTCTAGAAAGAGGCTTGGGAGTTTGCAGGGAAAGTAAAAAAGCAATTGGCCTCACACTGATGGTTCACTGAACATTTATTGATGGTTCCTGTGTCTAGTTCAGGAGTCTAGAGATAAAAGACTCCAAGAAAAAAATGCCCAACCAGACAAAATTATCCTGGCTAAGACCTACCCAGTTCTGACTTCCCACCAAGGTCCTGTTTTTACTTGCTCCCAGAAACTGTTCTGCACAGGTCAACTGTCCAGAGACATGCCTGGTGCCGAGTAATCACAGTGGGGGAGAAGGCTGTCCTGGCTCTGACCCTGGATATCAGATACTGGCTGGGAAGGAAGCAGTGGGATTGGGAGGGGGAGGATACAGTTTGACTCATCAAAGGCATCCTGAGGTTTCCCTGGCTGACTCCTCCAAGGGGCTGTAGACAATCAGTGCATTGTCAGCAGGGGCTGCAGCATGGAACAAGGGCACGTCCACACTGAGCGCCTCAGGTCCAGGCCTGTTGAGGTAAGGTCTCTCTTCCTGCTCCCCCCCCCCCCAAAGAACACAGGGATACAAGAGTCCGGAGTGTCACCACCTGCCATCAGCCCCTTCCCTGAGCAAGTCAGCTCTCTAACCCAGAAGCCCCACTGACAGTAATATGCCCCTAGGTGAAGACCAAACCCTGCCATAGGGGCTGGAGAGCAGCAGGCCTGCTGCTTACACTGGTCACTGCTGGGGCCGTGGCTGGAGGGCTTCTTGGCTTCATGTACAGCCCCCCCCCAAGGTGAGCTGCTCCTCAAGCCCAGGGATATACAGAGTGGGAAGGGGGTAGGAAAGCTAGTACCTGTTAGCCCTCCCACGGGGCCAGGCCTTAACGCTGGCCTTCATCAGATAGCCAGAGAACCAGAAGGAACAAAGCCTACTATGGTGATAAGCAAATACAGATATCAGGGCGGAATTCCAATACCCCTTAGACATTGCTGCAGATGCTCCGAAAGACCTCAAGCTCCAGGGTACCCTGGTCCAACCAAACCACTCTAGTGGACGTGGCCCAGAACACGGCAACTATCATGGTGACTCCACTTCAGAGCAACCACAGCTGGGCCGTACTGTTTGACGGACAAAATGTGAGTGAGCTTGGGAGCAGGGCAGAGTGGAAGTATCAGGGGTGGCCTTGACTTACCCATCTGCCTCCCCAGGGCTACATCTGTTACCGACCGGCAGAGCACCAGGCCTGCTTCCTCCGTCTGATGGAAGCCCAAGATTGGGAGACCTTACGGCTGCTGGTGAACACTTCCAGGGTGAGCGGTACTACTTGGCTTGCCAATCACCCCCACCCCCCCAAGGCCAGGGGAAAAACAAAAGGTCTTCTGTGCAGCCCAGCTGGGCCAGCCAAGGCTCTGGTTTCAGGGGAACAGAAAGCTCTATCTTCTCCTGACTAAGGCTGTTGACAAGAGCAGGTGGAAGGGCCATCAGGCTGGGGTGGGACATGAATGCCCTACCCAGCCAGGATCCAGGAAGTACTATATGGTGGCCCACCAGAGTCTTTCTGCAGGCCCAAGAGTCCCATGTACCTGGCCAAGACACCCACTATATTCAGGAGCTGCTGGCAGTTTTGGGGGGTCATACTGTGGACCCTGCCCAAGCAGGAGCTTCGGTGCGACACCTTTGCATGGACACTCCCATCTACTGGGCCCAACGGGCAGAGGGTGAGTTGGGGTAGGTTGAGTGAAGAGGCCTGTGGCTCATGCAGGACAGTACTAGGTGGGAGCCCTTATGATTCATGAGTACCCTTCTCCCCAGGGCCCCAGAGACAGCGGCTGATCTACCTCTGCATTGACATCTGCTTCCCGAGCAACATCTGTGTGTCTGTCTGCTTTTATTACCTTCCAGACTAAGTCCCCTACTGACCTGCCTTTGGTCCCACAGGCCAGTCCTGTCCCCACAGGTCAGCAAGCTGGTCAGGTCACCAGCACCAATAAAGGGCAGCTGACAGTAGGGACAAATAAACCCATATTACCTGGCCATAGTGGTAATTTTTGGGGGGCCTCAGTACCTGTACAGGGGTAAAGAGGGGCAAGTGGGGATAACATACTTGGGAAACCTCAACAGTTCAATCCCTCTGGGTCTAGCCTTTCTGAACTGAGAAATGACTCCCAGCCCAGGCACATGTCCCTGGCTTAGTGAGCCTTCTGACAATGAAGAAAGTCCCAAAGTACAGGGGCCATGGCAGTCTGGTCAGGTCCAGCTGGCCTGGCATGCAGAGGCTGACCTGAGAGTCACTTAGGCCAGGATATTGTTGAGGTATGTCCACTTAGAGCCACTATACCAGGCAGTCCTGACTGCCCAATGCAGCCTCAACGGGTAGAGGCTAACCCAGCACGCTGTCATTGAAGGCCAAGCAGATGACAGCCTTCTGATGGCCACCATACTCTCTCTTGATCTCTCCAGTCTCTACACACCAAAGCCGGGCCAGGTTGTCAGAGGAAGCTGCAGGAGGGATCAGGCAGAAGAGAAGCAGCCCATGAATGGCCTCTCTAGAGGCCTAGGCAATGTAGAAGAGATAGGAGATAGGGCTCACCTGTGACTATGTACTGGGAGTCCCCTGAGAAGGCACAGCCCCACATCCAACCACGGGATGACTCTCCAGGGTTACTACTCTTGATGCTGAGCTCTGTCATCAGGGAGAAGTTGGATGTCCTCCAGATTTTACATGTCTGGTCAGCTGAACAGGTAGCAAGGAGCCTGGGGTTGGACAATGGGTATCTCAGCAGCTACTACTACCTTGTATCTGCTTAACACACACCAGGTAGTGCCCCCAGCCCCTGAAGATGCCCTCTTCCGGCAGGACCCTAACACTCACGTGGAGTCAGGGCTGAAGCGGCATTGCAGGGCATAGCGTGTGTGGGCTGGGATCTTGGTCTTGGGAATAAGCTGAGTCACCTCGTCACCAATGCCCCCAGTCAGATTCCAGACATAGCAGTTCCCCTATAGAACAGGAGGGCAGTCATTTAAAACCTAGACCCAAGGACACCTGAGCCAGGGCAGGAAGGCTGGCATCTTGGGGTCATGTCTATAGGAAGCTTGGCCCTAACACGGAACCATGCCCAGCCAGCCAAAAGCAGGAGACCACACTGGCCAGGGACTCAAATACAGCTCCCTAGAGGCTGCTGTTGGCCAATAGAGATGTGCAGGAAGGGAGGTGGTAAGGAGGGTACCCAGACAGACGATGTAACAACCGAAGGCTGGAAGGAGGGAATGCAAGTATGTAGAACAAGTGATATTCTAAGATTTAAAAGGAGAAAATGAGACTAGAGATGAAAGCAGGGACCAAACTGAAGCATCCTACAGTCCATGAAAAGGAGCCAGAGCAGGCAGGGCATTGGTGGCGCACTCGGGAGGCAGAGGCAGGCGGATCTCTGTAAGTTCAAGGCCAGCCTGGTCTAGGAGTGAGTTCCAGGACAGCCTCCAAAATAATACAGAGAAACCCTGTCTCAAAAAACCAAAAAAGAAAAAAAAAAAAAAAGAAGAAAAGAAAAGGAGCCAGAGCATCTTAAGGTCTCAGAAGAGCGCAGCCTGCCATAAGGCTAAAGGGTACTTGTACAGTTGGAGGAGAATAGATCAGGCATTCCAGGAAGGCCACAGAGAAGTTTGTCAATATCAGGGAAGATCAGTCATGGACTAGAACATGAAAGAAAAGGAGGAAATAACTGGCCCTGAGAAATCCTGGCTAGGTGCTCAGTCTGATGGGTGGGCCATGGCAGACAGCAAGGTGGACATGAGGAGTGATACTCAAGTGCCTGACTTTGGGAGCTGGATGGAAACTTAGAGAGGCCTGAGGAACAACCAGGGCATCTGCGGAAGATAGGGGGCTAGGAGCTGACATGCCCCTGGACCCAGTCCCTGTACTCACAGCACTATTGACTGCTGCCATGTAGCTGGCATCAGGGTCGATGTGGGCAGATGTGATGGAAACCTCAGGCTCAGGGATCAGCTGCTCATTGTGGTCTGTCTTCAGGTCCCAGATGTGGATGGCACCACTCTGGTCACCCACAATGAGTTCTGCCTGGGATATAGTGAGAGTAAGATGTGGCAGTACCTCTGCCTTCCAAGGCCCCCAGGTACCTGGCCCCAGGAGTCCTCCTCACCTGGTTGGGATGCAGACACACACAATTAATGGGTGCATTCACCTGGAAGATGCGCTGACACTGCAGGTTCCGGGATCTGTGGGGAGTTAGGGTCACACATGGTGTCTAATGTATGCTACTGGTATCCCACAAAAAGCTCCCATTCTCTGCTAATAAGAGTTGCTTCTACCTTAGGAGCTTGTAGAGGTTGGCTCTTCCCCACAGGTGGCAGTGTTAGGTCATTAAAAGGGAATGAAAGTCTGGCCCCAGGCCTCAAGGCGGGGTGGCTTTGATGTAAATCCTGCTGCTTTCCTCCTTCCTCTAAATACCCACTCAACCCCCCCCACACACACACATTTCCCTGGCTGCCCTCTCCCCAGGCAGCCTCCTCTCCAGCCCAGCACTCAACACCTGAGGTCCCATATGCGAGCTGTGCAGTCTTCCCCGCCCGTGTACATCCATCGGCCATCCTCATGAAAGCCCACAGATGCAATGTTCTTATTGACTCCGTCGTAACTGATGATGGGGTTGGGGTTATTGGAGTTGAGATCATACATGCGGATATGCTGGTAACCTAGGGACACAGGCTGAATTAAAGCATGGGGGGACCAGGCAGTGGTGGCGCACGCCTTTGATCCCAGCACTCAAGAGGCAGAGGCAGTCGGATCTCTGTGAGTTCGAGACCAAGCCTGGTCTAACAGCTAGTTCCAGGACAGCCTCCAAAACAATACAGAGAAACCGTGTCTCGAAAACACCAAAAATAAATAAATAAATACAGATAAAGCATGGGGGCCAGGTAGTCCTGCCACCAGTCAAGGGCAAAGGTCAGAGTCTCAGGTACCTGCGGCAGCAATCATGCTTCGGTCTGGTGTGATCTCCAAGGCATTCACCTGCTGAATCTGTTAAGGATGATGGGAAGTGAACCCTGGAAAGGAAGGCCTTGGGGCCACGGGCCATCAGGACCGACACCACCTGGCCTGACTTTCCCAGGGCACTTGTCATTCATACTTCATCCTGGCCAGCACCACCCTGCCTGCTCCCAAGTGGAGGATACAGAGTCCTGATGCTGCACGGTTCGGGTGCAGATGCCACTGTGCGCCTGCCAAAAGCGCACAGTGTGGTCATAGCCTGCAGTTGCCAAGATGACAGGGTCACTGCCCACTGTGCCTGGGGTGGTGTTCATTGTCTGACGGCTGGGAAAAATGAGGCCTGCACTGGGACAAGAGCTAGGTGATACGCAAGGTCCAAAGGTCAAAACATCTAGAGGAAAAAACGGATGTATGAGAAAACAATCCACACTACGCTGAGTAGCATCACTTTAAAGATAAGAAAAATGAGTCTTTAGGGTCACGCTGGCAGTCACATGAAAGGCGACTCAGCGCCTCTGCTTCCAGGCACCTGTTCCTTCAGCTTCACCAGCACCGACGGAGACGCCACCCCGCCTGCAGTCAGCAGGAGGCAGTAACACACAGAGGGCAATCACAGGGGCGCCATCTGCCGCAAGGGTAGGCAACGCATGCGCAAGGCGATTGGGGAAAGCCGGGCACCAATGCTGCTGCGCATGCGTGGCTGCCCGGCATTGAGATCTGATGGGTGGGGGCGCTGTGTGGCAGGACCCCCGAGGTCCCCTGTGTTCTGCAGACCGACTTGGCTCTGTCCTACCAACCTGATTACCCCGACCGCATCCTTCTAGCCACCCAGCAGCTGATATACAGCCCTTATCCCGCGGCCTCCGTACCTTACACACGCTCAGCACTCTGCCTTGGTCCAGGACGGCGAGGCGAGTAGGAGCGAATCGATAGAAGCCGGGCCGAGTGTAGAGTTATCGATAGCCGCTCAGGGCGAGACCATGAGTCCGGTGAGTGGGGGAGTGAGTTTGCAGTGATTCCAAAGTTCTGAGAGGTGGAACTGCAGAAGCGGTCCCGCGCGGAGTGGGCGTCAGCCGCGACCCCAGCCTTGTCCTCACTGGACAGACATTGTGCGGCTGCCTATTTTCCAGACTTGATTCCTAGGAAGGTTTGCATTGTCGTTGTCCCCCCCACCCCTGCACACATACACAGTACCCTACCCTACCTACCAAGCTAGAATTCCAGCAAATACAAAATTTACAGATTTTTTTAAAGTGGTGGTGGTGGGGGCAGTTGTTCTTGTTGTTTTTGTATAGCATATCTCAAACGTTGCACTAAAAGAATTACTTTCTTACAAGAAGTTCAAATGCAACTAGGCATTCTCTCCTATTTGTTTTGGGGGTTTTTTTGTTAGTTTTTTTTTTTTTTTTTGGTTTTTGTTTTGTTTTGTTTTCGAGACAGGGCTTCTCTGTGTAGCTTTGGAGGCTGTCCTGGAACTCGCTCTGTTGACCAAGCTGGCCTCGAACTCATAGAGCCTCTGCTTCCCCAGTGCTGGGATTAAAGCCGATTTGTTTTATCTGGTAACCCTAGTCTAGTCTGGGCCCTTTCAGACCTGTCCAGCCCCAGCCTGATCCACAGTGCACACAAGTTAGCCTAGAAACCACTTTAAAACTGCAGATTCTCGCCGGGTGTTGGTGGCGCATGCCTTTAATCCCAGCGCTTGGGAGGCAGAGGCAGGCGGATCTCTGTGAGTTCGAGGCCAGCCTAGTCTACCGAGCGAGTTCCAGGACAGCCTCCAAGACAATACAGAGAAACCCTGTCTCGAAAAAACAAAAAAAAAACAAAAAAAAACAAACAAACAAAAAAAAACCCTGCCGATTCTCAGGGCTGCAGAGATGATCGGCTCAGAGGTTAAGAGCACTGCATGTTCTTCCGGAGGACCTGAGTTCAATTCCCAGCCATGTGGTTGCTCACAACAACCATCTATAATGAGGTCTGATGCCTTCTCCTGGGGTACATGCATGTATACAGATAAAAAACTGTATGCGCAAGCACTCGGGAGGCAGAGCCAGGCAGATCTCTGCGAGTTCGAGGCCAGCCTGGTCTACAAAGTGAGTTCCAGGACAGCCTCCAAAGCTACAGAGAAACCCTGTCTCGAAAAACAAAAAAAAAACAACAACAAAAAAACTCTATGCGCCGGGCGCACGCCTTTAATCTCAGCACTCGGGAGGCAGAGGCTGGACGACAGCCTCCAAAACAATCAGAGAAACCCTGTCTCGTAAAAAATAAAAATTAAAAAAAAGCTGTATGCATAATAAATACTTTTTAAAAAAGGTTTTTATGGCGCACGCCTTTAATCCCAGCATTCGGGAGGCAGAGGCAGGCGGATCTCTGTGACTTCAAGACCAGCCTGGTCTACAAAGTGAGTTCCAGGACAGCCTCCAAAGCTACAGAGAAACCCTGTCTCGAAAAACCAAAAAAAAAAAAAAAAAAAAAAAAAAAAAAGGTTTTTAAAAACTGCAGATTCTCGCGCCTCCATTTTTTATTACAGCCCTCCGAACTTCACAAAGTTAGTCTTGTTTTCCCATGATTTCTTCCCACTGCAAACCCCTTTTTCCTCTGGTCACAGAGAAGGTGAGTCCAGATCCTTGACCAAGGCCAGTTCCTGTCCATGCACCCGGGTCCTTGATCATAGACACCCCTCTCCCCGGAACCTTCCCCCAGGCCCTCTTTATCTTTACCTCCTTAGTGTATTTTTGTTGTTTGGTTTGTCTTTTTCCTTTTTTTGGGGGGGTTGTTTTTAGAGACAAGGTTTCTCTGTGTTGCTCTGGCTATCCTGGAAAGCATGCTGTAGAATGGGCTGGCCTTGAACTCAGAGATCAGCCTGCCTCTGCCTCCGGGGACTACAGGTGTGCACCACCACCGACCGACTTAATTTTTTCAACTGGGATTGGTTTGGTATTCTACAGAGCCTTCAAACTTATTATGTAGGCAAGGATGACCTTGAACTTCAAGTCCCCTGTCTCTGACACTTGAAGATGTCAGGGCTTTGTACACACTAGGCAAGTACACTACATCTGAGCTTCAGTGCTGACTCCAGCCTCCCCTTTGGGTTTTAAAACCAAAAAAACAACCCCAATACTCTCTTCCCAGCTAACCTCTCTCCCCCAAAGAGCTGTCCTCACCGTCCACTTCCCCCCTCATTCCTCAGCTTTACCCAAGTTCTCTGGGGAAATTCCTCAAGGCCACTGCCCAGCTTAATCTGCCAAACCCAATAGATACTTTCTTTCTACCTCTTGACCCTTGTGTGCTGTGGATGGCAGAAAATCTCATTTCTTCCTTTGTGCCCTAGTGCCAGTAGCAGATGACCTCAATGGGCTCTCTCCCCGGTCCCCTCCTGAGACTCTCCCTTTACTCTTCGTCTTACCCAGAGGCTCTGTGGCTTCCCATGCTCTCTTTGCTCTGGTGTTTCGCCACTCTCATCTCCAATTCCCGGGCCCTCAAAGCACGTTCAGCTCTCTGTTAAATATGGAACACAAAGCCGGGCAGATGTGGTGCACGCCTTTAATCCCAGCTCTCGGGAGGCAGAGGCAGGTGGATCTCTGTGAGTTCAAGGCCGGGCTGGACCGACAGCCTCCAAAACAATACAGAGAAACCCTGTCTTGTAAAAACCAAAAAAAAAAAAAAAAAAATATATATATATATATATATATATATATATATATATATATATATATATGGCACACAAATTGCCTCACAGAGGACCACACTTTTCCTGCCTAAGGTAATTCCTCACTGACCATCAGATGCCCCTGTGTGAGCAGTGTTCAGCTACATGTAATAACTGGCTAGAATCTGCGTACATCCCTCATCCTTGTCATTTTTAGCCAATACTTTCACCTGATAACCCACCTCCTCACATCTTTTTTGTTTGTTGTTTTTCAAATCAGGGTTTCTCTGTGTAGCCCTGGCTGTCCTGGAACTCACTCTGTAGACCAGGCTGGCCTTAGACTCAGAGATCTGCCCGTCTCTGTCTCTGGGGGTTACAGGTGGTTGTGAGCTACCTGATATGGGTGCTGGGAACTCAGATTCTCTATAAAAACAGAATTGCTCCTAACTAATGAGCCATCTCTCTAGTCCCACAATTGGCAATTTAAATTGAACAGTTCAGACAAGGGATGCAGATCAGTAGTAGAGAGACTGCCTGGTACATTCTAGGCTGGCCCAGGAATACATAAATAAAAACAGAGTGAACAATTTAGTCAATATGACACATCTATAATCCTGGCACTTGGGATCCTGAGTCAGGAGGATCTTGAGTTCAAGACCAGTCTCACTTAGCTACATAATGAGATCCTGTATTTAAAAAAGAATCGGGACTGGAGAGATGAGATGGCTCAGCAGTTAAGAGCACTGGCTGCTCTTCCAGAAGACCCAGGTTCAAATGCCAGCACCCACATGGCAGCTCACAACCCTCTATAATGAGATCTGATGCCCTCGTCTGGCCTGCAGGAATCTTAAAAAAAAGAAAGAAAGGAAGGAAGAAAGAAAAAGAATCAACTCAATGGCACAGTGACATTTAGTGCATTGACATTGTGCAACTACTACCTCTTTGTGGCTACCCAGATGTTTACATCCTCCTCTTAAGAGACTGAACAGAGCTGGCTGGCATGGCAGCAGCAGTGCAACCCTCGATCCCAGCACTCAGGAGGCAGAGGCAGGCGGTCCTGGTAGAGACAGAGAGAGACAGAGACAGAGACAGAGACAGAGAGACCAGGCAGATAGGCAGAGCAGGGTATGGTGACTTTTACTCTTTGGGGGATGGGCAGTGTTTTTGTTTTTTGGGTTTTTTTTTTTCCCCAAGATAGGGTTTCTCTGTAGCTTTGGGGCCTATTCTGGCACTCGCTCTGTAGACCAGGCTCTGGCCTTGAACTCACAGAGATCCACCTGCCTCTGCCTCCCAAGAGTGCCAGGATTAAAGGCGTGCACGACCGCCCAGCAGCTCTTGAAATAATCCCAGCATCTGAGAGGCAGAGGCAGGCAGATCTCTGTGAGTTCGAGGACAGCCCAGCCTACAGAGTGAGTTCCAAGTTAGGACAGCCCAGCCTACAGAGTGAGTTCCAAGTTAGCCAGGGCTACCCAGAGAAACCTTGATTTAAAGGGAGGGGGACTAGGTAGTTATTCCCCACCCTCCTTCCCCAACCCAGGCCCTGGAAACCACTAATCTTATCTTTTATTGGCCTTGGCTGGACATTTAATATCAATGGGATTACAAATTTATAGCCTTTTGTATTTTGTTTCTCTACTTAGTATTGTGATTTCAAGGTTTATTCAGTGGTATGGGTCACTATGTCATTCCTTTCTGTGGCTAACAGTGTCCCATTGTATGCATGGACTTCATTTTATTTGTTCATTCATGATGGGCATCTGAGTTATTTCCTTCTATATTGTGACATAGTGCTACTACTATAAATGTTTATGTACAAGCATTTATTTGCATGCGTGTTTTAATTTGACTTAGAACTACCTTAGGAATGGAATTACTGGGTCACGTTCACTCTGTGTTCAGCCACTGAGCCATTTCTCTAGCCTGCTATGTTCAATTTTTTGAGGAACTGCCAAAACATCATGAGTGTTTTCACTGCATCAATCTTAGTGTTCTGCAGGGAGTTTGCTCAGGAGGATCAGTCTCTATCTGGGGACATCTTGTCAGAAAACAGGCTCAGAGCTGCAGAACTGCCATTGAAAGCTTAGAGCTAGATGGTGGATCCCAGTTTGACCCAGCTGCAGTTAAGACCCCACTCTCTCCTGACCTCATCCTTTCTGGCCAGCTGAGGAGACTGATGCACAAGTACCCTGCACCTTATTTATCTTCCTTTT